TGACAAAGAGAGAGACTTTAATGAGTTCACCATGTCGCCAAAGGGCGAGTGCTGGAAGATGTCCGCAGTGGTAAACTCCATTACCGGAGCCCAACCTGGCTCAGCTGGCTCGGGGGTGTGCGGACTGGAACCAACAACCGGATACGAGCCCGGGGGCCCGGGGTTACAGGCCTCCACAGAGGTGAGGCCTGTGTTCGGCTCCACCGCCGATGAGTATGCGGCCTGCGGGGCGGCGTCCACCCCTCCGTCCTTAGGCAACGCAACCTGCTCCGGATTTAGATCCGGGGCTACTGTAGGGGTGATATCCCGAGCATTGTCCGACAGCAGGTCTAGGGCATGCTCGTCGTGACTGTTCGGTGCTCCTGGCACATGCCAGATTCCATCGAAGATCAAGTCTCCGCGGATATCGGTTGTGTAGTTCAGGTTTCCGAACCTGACCTGGTGGCCGGGGGCGTAGCTATCGATCTGCTCTAGATGGCCAAGCGAACTGGCCCGCGGTGCGAAGCCGCCGAACACAAAGATCTGTCCAGGGAGAAAGGTCTCACCCTGGACCGTGTTGTTGACGATTGAAGGCGCCATCAAGCCTCGAAGCGACGACACAGAGGAACTCTCAATGAAAGCACCAATGTCGGTGTCAAAACTGGCGGATCTCGGGTAGGGGGTCCCGATCTGTGCGTCTTAGGCTGATGGTAACAGGAAGCAAGGGACACGATGTTTACCCAGGTTCGGGCCCTCTCGATGGAGGTAAAACCCTACTTCCTGCTTGATTAATATTGAAGATATGAGTAGTACAAGAGTGGATCTACCATGAGATCATAGAGGCTAAACCCTAGAAGCTAGCCTATGATGGTATGATTGTAATTGTGATCGGCCTTCTAAGGACCAACCTCTCCGGTTTATATAGACACCGAAGAGGGCTAGGGTTTACACGGAGTCGGTTACAAGGAAGGAAACATAATATCCGGATCGCCAAGCTTGTCTTCCACGCCAAGGAGAGTCCCATCCGGACACGGGTCGTAGTCTTGAGTCTTGTATCTTCACGCTCCAATAGTCCGGACGATGTATATAGTCCGGCTGTCCGGATACCCCCTAATCCAGGACTCCCTCAGTAGGATCAAGAACACACATATATTCATGAAAACATAATAGGTTCAGATCTGAAATCATGGCACTCGGGCCCTAGTGACAAGCATTAAGCATAGCAAAGTCATAGCAACATCAATCTCAGAACATAGTGGATACTAGGGATCAAACCCTAATAGAACTAACTTGATTACATGGTAAATCTCATCCAACCCATCACCGTCCAGCAAGCCTACGATGGAATTACTCACGCACGGCGGTGAGCATCATGAAATTGGTGATGGAGGATAGTTTATGATGACGACGGCGACGAATCCCCCTCTCCGGAGCCCCGAACGGACTCTAGATCAGCCCTCCCGAGAGAGATTAGGGCTTGGCGGCGGCTCCGTGTCGTAAAACGCGATGAAACTTTCTCCCTGATTTTTTTCTCCCCGAACGTGAATATATGGAGTTGGAGTTGAGGTCGGTGGAGGTCCAGGGGGCCCACGAGATAGGGGGGTGCGCCCTACAGGGGGGGCCTGTCTCGTGGACATGCCCTGGGCCTCCTGATGTATTTCTTTCGCCAGAAATTCTTATTAATTCCAAAAAGTGCCTTCGTGGATTTTCAGGACATTCCGAGAACTTTTCTTTTCTACACATAAAACAACATCATGATAGTTCTGCTGAAAACAGCGTCAGTCCGGGTTAGTTTCATTCAAATCATGCAAGTTAGAGTCCAAAACAAGGGCAAAAGTGTTCGAAAAAGTAGATACGTTGGAGATGTATCAGTCGTCTCGCCAACCATTGCTTCTACGACTATCGCTACCGCTTAGTGATAAAGTAAAGCAATTATATGGCGCTTGTATTTCATACAATAAAGCGACAACCATATGGCTCCTGCCAGTTGCCGATAACTTTTGCAAAACATGATCATCTGATGCAACAATCTTATATCACATCATGTCTTGACTATATCACATCACAACATGCCCTGCAAAAACAAGTTAGACGTCCTCTACTTTGTTTGTTGCAAGTTTTACATGGCTGTTATGGGCTCCTAGCATCAACCATACAAACCTATGGCACAAAAACCACAATGGTGATTTATCAAGTTTGTTGTTTTAACCTTCGCAAGGACCGGCCGGAGTCAAATTCAATTCAAGTAAAGTTGGAGAATCAGACACCCGCCAGCCATCTTTATGCAAAACTAGTTGCATGTCCGTCGGTGGAACCGGTCTCATGAACACGGTCATGTAAGGTTGGTCTGGGCCGCTTCATCCAACAATACTGCCGAATCAAAATAAGACATTGATGGTAAGCAGTATGATGATCACCGCCCACAACTCTTTGTGTTCTACTCGTGCATATCATCTACACATGCTCTGATGCCACTGTTGGGAAATGTAGCATGCAATTTCAGAAAAAGTCCTATGCTCACGCAAGATCTATCTAGGAGATGCATAGCAACGAGAGGGGGAGAGTGTGTCCACGTACCCTCATAGACCGAAAGCGGAAGCGTTAACTTAACGCGGTTGATGTAGTCGAACGTCTTCTCAAATCAACCGATCAAGTACCAAACGTACGACACCTCCGAGTTTCGCACACGTTCAGCTCGATAACGTCCCTCGATCTCTTGATCCAGCAGAGTGTCGATGGAGTCGATGAGTTCCGTCAGCACGACGGCGCGATGACAGTGTTTTATGATGTGATCTGTGCAGGGCTTCGCCTAAGCACTACGATGATACTATCGAAGGAGTAAACGGTGGAGGGGGGCACCGCACACGGCTAAGAGAATAACTGTTGTGCTGTGGGGTGCCTTCTGCCCCCGTATATAAAGGAGGAGGGGAGGAGGCGGCCGGCCTAGAGGGGCGTGCCATGGGGGGAGTCCTACTAGGACTCCCAGTCCTAGTAGGATTCCCCTTTCCTTTTCCGGAGTAGCAAAGGGGGGAAGGGAGAGGGAGTAGGAGAGGGAAAGGGGGCGCCACCCCCTTCCCTAGTCCAATTCGGACCCCATGGGGGGCACCCCTTGTGGGCTGTCCCCTCTCCCTCCCGTGGCCCATGTTGGCCCATTACTTCCCCGAGGGTTTCCGGTAACCTCCCGGTACTCCAAAAAATATTCGAAACTTTCCGAAACCATTCTGATGTTCAAATGTAACCTTCCAATATATCAATCTTCATCTCTCAACCATTTAGAGACTCCTCGTCATGTCTGTGATCTCATCCGGGACTTCGAAAAACCTTCGGTCACCAAAACACATAACTCATATAATACCAATCGTCATCGAACGTTAAGCGTGCGGACCCTACGGGTTCGAGAACTATGTAGACAAGACCGAGACACCACTCCGGTCAATAACCAATAGCGAAACCTGGATGCTCATATTGGTTCCCACATATTCTACGAAGATCTTTATCGGTCGAACCGCAATGTCAACATAGCTATTCCCTTCGTCATTAGTATGTTACTTGCCCGAGATCTGATCGCCGGTATCTCTATACCTAGTTCAATATCATTACTTGTAAGTCTCTTTACTCGTTCCGTAGTGCATCATCCCATAACTAACTCATTAGTCACATTGCTTGCAAGGCTTCATATGATGTGCATTACCAAGAGGGCCCAGAGATACCTCTTCGATACTCGGAGTGACAAATCCTAATCTCGATCTATGCCAACCCAACAAACACCTTCGGAGATACCTGTAGAGCATCTTTGTAATCATCCAGTTACGGTGTGACGTTTGATAGCACACAAGGCATTCCTCCGGTGTCCGGGAGTTGCATAATCTCATAGTCGGAGGAATATATATTTGACACGAAGAAAGCAGTAGCAATAAAACTGAACGATCATTACGCTAAGCTAATGGATGGATCTTGTCCATCACATCATTCCACTAATGATGTGATCACGTTATCAAATGACAACTCATGTCCATGGCTAGGAAACTTAACCATCTTTGATCAACGAGCTAGTCTAGTAGAGGCATACTAGGGACACGTTGTTTTGTCTATGTATTCACACATGTATCAAGTTTCCGGTTAATACAATTCTAGCATGAATAATAAACATTTATCACAAATAAGAAAATATAAAATAACAACTTTATTATTGCCTCTAGGGCATATTTCCTTCAAAGCTGCCATGGCAAAAATTCCAAATTGTCATGGCACAAAAATAATAATTCAAAATTGGTTTATCTTCAGCGGGAGAGGTGCATTGTAGTGGGTTCAATCTTGCGGTGACCTTGCTTTACGACAGGAGGGGGTAATAAGGCATATTTTGTATTGTTGCTACTAAGGATAAGACGATGGGGTTCGGTCATATTAGTTGATCCTATTCTGTCTACATTATGTCATTTTGCTTAATGCGTTACTTTTATTTTTTTTACTTTTATTATTATATCTATCACTACTGGATTTGATACTTGCGACTGGTAATAATGTGATGTAAGCTCCTATTTTAGATGCTATTTCTATCACTTATGTTTTATGTGTTTCTATTTCGTGTGCATATTATTCAAAAGTAGCAAAATACTGACCAATTTTTAGAAAATAGTTAATCATGGTTAAGCCGCGCTTAAGCGCCCATTGCTCTAAGTTGTGGCCTTTCAATTCACTGATGTTTAAGCGCTTAAGCGACATCCCCTGCTGACACCGGTGGTGGATTCACGAGACCACACCCTCACTGGCTCCTCCGCCACATCGAAGGCGACGCCTCCATGACAGTGAAGAGGTAAAAGAAAAAGAGAAAAACTTATTTTCTCCATGGCCATGGAGAAAGATATTAATGTGAGTTTTTTCCCTTAAAAAAATGGTGAGATTTTTTTTATTTAAGCAACAACGGTCGTTTCCGGCTCTCCCTCCGACCCCCAAACCCGGCCCGCACTCTTCAGGCGAAAAGACGGAAACGCCCCCCGCTCCACCCTGACTCGACCCCATCCATGGCTGGCGGCGGCGGCGGCGCGTCGCCGGCGCGGGACGGCGGGCGGGAGGAGTGGCTGCGCATCTACGACCGGATGGTGGCCGTCCTGCGGAAGAGCCACCGGGACGTGGAGGCGCTGCTCGCCGACCGCAAGCGCCTCGAGGCCGTCCTCAAGATCCAGCACGACTTCTGGCTCCACCGCGACGCCGTCCTCCGGGACCGCCTCGACGAGGTCCGCCCCTCCCTCCCCCCTCCCCCCTGATTCCATCCTTCTCCGACGAGGTCCGGCCGGCCGGCGGCTGACGGTCCCTAGGGTTTCGCTGGCAGACGCGGAGGGTGGAGGACTGCCTGCGGCGGGGCGACGCCGCCAAGCTCGACCTGCTCCTCGGCGACAAGGACCTCGAGGTGCGCCGCCACCGGATCTACATCGGTAAGACCACAAATCTCCCCAACCCCCTCCCCCTATCTGCCGTTCTTGTCGATTTGGTGGCAGAAATCCCGCGGCATGGGCTCTCCTGGAGGATTTAGGGTACCTCCAGGTGCCAAAGCCGGCGTCTTTTTCGGCCCAGGGGCTGTTTCCGGAGGCCTTTGCGCCGCCACGCCCGCCAAATGTTCAATCTTTGCTCGGGTTCGCTGTGCGTGCAATGCTTGGGTTGAGATTGTTGTGATGCCCCTTTGCTGCAATGGTGGAAAAAACACTTCCATCTCTCCGCTCGATGCGGCATGCCTGGTGTGAATCTTGCACGATTATCTGGCCATCGATAAGCTTGCTTAATTTACATTGTTCAAACTTCAATGATACCGTGATGGATCTTAAATCGTTGTTTTGTGTATATACCAATGCTGATGTGCTGGTTTAGTTATTTTCTGCGTGTTGCCCTACGGACATTTTATGAAAGTATTGTTTGGGCTAAAAAAGTTGTTAGTTCCTGCATCGTTGGGCACCAAAGCGGTAGTCCAACAATGATGTTTTGTCATATCCGCATCTTATCGCTCCATTCACATTCATCAAGAACTGGGGTTTCTGTCGATTGGTACCCAGTTGAAGTGACAGCTAGCGCTTTGCCTTTTCCGTTTGGAATAACCTTTTCTAAGGATTTATTATGTTGCTACTGGTTGCTGATATCACTGTGTCTGGTATCTTGCTAAGAATTAATGTTGCTGATATCATTGTGTTTTGTGTTTGATGTAGAACACCAAGATGGTGACTTGGAGGATTTCAAAAGAGATGCAGCTGCTTTGGCTCAAGAAAACAATGAATTGAAGGTACTTACCGAAACATAAGTTGCTTTACTCACAAGCATGTACTAGTAAACTTGTCCATCTTGTTAATTGGTGTTCCGTGTCTGCTCCTTTCGTCTTTCTTAACTTCAGATAAAACTGAAGGAAGCTGAAAGTTGTGCCGAGCTCAGCGAGCCAACTACAGACCCCGAGCACAGTGGAAGAGATTTGAGAGCAGAGATAAGGAAGCTAAAGAAAGCCTATAAGGCCCTGAGCTCGCAGAAGGAGAGCGAGGTTTCCGCGTTACTCGCAGAAAAGGATTTCGTGTGGAACCAGTACAAGACAATGGAGAAGGACTACGAGACGCTCCTTAAGAAGAAGAAGATGGAGGCAGCACAGGCTACTGAAGCAGCCGAGAAGCTTCAGCAGAAGGTGGAGGAGCTGCAACTGCAAGTGTCAGCCCAAAAGAAGGATGACGATGTTGGCAGATTGCAAGCGGAAGCTAATGATGCCAAAAAGAAGGTGCTGGCTCTTGAGGATAAGCTACAAAAAATGCACTCCCTGGTCAGTGAGAAAGACGATGAGATCCAAAAACTCAAGAGTGGGCACCTTCAGGCTAGTCAAAAGCGGAAGAAGGATATCAGCGGGACACATAGAAGATCTAGGTCTGAAGGTCCATCTGTACGGGGGAAGTCTAAAAGTAATCCTCGGAGGCAAATGGCAGAAGAAGATCAACCCGAGACCAGTCAGAAGCGTCAGTGTGCCTCTTCGTTATCAAGTGTAAGTATTCCATTCCCAAGTATATCATTCATGTACTGAGCTAGTGACATGCTCCACTGATAAACTAGACGCTAAGTTCCTTTTAAAGAAAAAAATAACTTTTCCAGTGACCGTGTAACAACATGTGGTTGTAATGTCTAATTCTTGGTAGGCTGCACGAGTTGCATTTTGCTGTACATATGGACAAAGAGTAATATTGATGTAAATTAAGTGAGTATTATTTTAGTTGCAAGTGCTCATAAAGGACCATCACACATATACATTCTTAGAGACAAGTCAGAACCAGGCAAAATATGTCTCTGACCTACCAGTTTATCACTTTCGACCTAATGGGCAACCTTGTACTGCTATATGGATAAACAAACCTAACCTGCAGAGAGGAAATATTATGCATCTCATTGCATTTTAACCTAACCAGTTACAATGTCTTAATTCTTTGTATGTTGCATGAGTTGCGATCAGCTTTTCTTCATAAATAGTAAAATCTGTAATTTGCGTCAGTAGCAATTTCTCACGAATAATCATATTGTCCAATTCTTGGCAAGCCGCATCAGCTGCGTCTTGCTGTAAATATGGACAAAGAGTTAGCTTGATGGATTTTAGGTGAGCATCATGTTCCTTGCTAGGTGCTCATGAAGGACCATCACAGATGAATTCAAGGAGAATAAGAAGGACGTGGCCATATATGTTCCTTGCTTTAACCATATCACTTTCAACCTTACTTATAGCACTGTACTATGGTTTGTTCATCTATATGCAGAAGCAAGACCTACCCTGCAGAGTAGAATAACATACCACTCTTTGACACTAACCATGTGCTCATCTATGTCCTAATTCTTGGTAGGCCGCATGAGTTGCGTCCTGCTGTAAATATGGACAAATAATAAGGTTGATGGAATTTAGGTGAGCATCATGTGAGTCGTAGATGCTCATAAAGGACCATCGCATATACACTTGGGAGACAGATTAATGGTAGGACACAACACTGTAAACCTTTTTGCTCATCTATGTCCTAATTCTTGGCAGGCTGCATAAGTTGCATCCTGCTGTAAATATGGACAGATAATAATGTTGATGGAATTTAGATGAGCATCATGTGAGTCGTAGATGCTCATAAAGGACCACCACAAATACACTTGTGGAGACTAGTAGTAGGACACGGCTCATCTATGTCCTAATTCTTGGTAGGCCGCATAAGTTGCATCCTGCTGTAAAATATGGACAAATAATAATGTTGATGGAATTTAGGTGAGTATCATGTGAGTTGTAGATGCTCATAAAGGACCACCACATAACTGTAACCCTTTTTAGTCGTCAATGTCCTAATTCTTGGTAGGTCGCGTAAGATGCGTCCTGCTGTAAATATGGACAAATAGTAATTTTGATGGAATTTAGATGAGCATCATGTGAGTCGCAGGTGCTCATAAAGGACCATCATAGATACACTTGTGATACCAGTAGTAGGACGGCAACATATGCTGTTTTCGTTATCAGTATTTCATCTGAACTATTTCTACACCTGAGGTGGCTAGTTTTTTTGTCTGCGCTCATAGTCCAAAATTACACGACAATGAGGGGACATATCATCTTTGCCTGTGTCGCTTTGAATTTTCTGCCTCACATAGTATATGATGTCCTAATTCTTGGTGGGCTGCATGAGTTGCATCTTGCTGTAAATATGGACGAACAGTGAACTGATGGAAACTAGGTGAGAGTGTTCTTTAAGTCTTGAACGCTCACAACGGGACTGTCACATAGTTTCCTCGAGACTATTGAATGAATATGGATGTTGCATGTTGAGGTTAATTGAACCTAATGTGCTTGGTTTTGAGTGCTATAGGAAGTTGTGTTTTTTGTTCTTATGAACCTTAACCAACACTATCAATAGTGGCTTCAAGATATTTTGCTGTAGTTTGGTGCAATGTTTATCATTGTGTTGAAAGTTTGCCCTGTTAGTTATTAAATGTTTTCTGAGCTCGTATTGTGGCACATGGCATAGAAAACATACTAGTTGCTTCAAGACCTTCCTTGATTTTTTTTCTTGGTTTTATTGTACCAACAAGGTACAATAAAACCAAGAAAAAAAATCAAGGAAGGTCTTGTGACCATGAGGTCATGGGTTCAAGTCCTGGAAACAGCCTCTTACAGAAATGTAGGGAAAGGCTGCGTACTATAGACCCAAAATGGTCGGACCCTTCCCTGGACCCTGCGCAAGCGGGAGCTACATGCACCAGGTTGCCCTTTTTTTTTATTGTACCTTTGTTCTCCTGTGGTGCAACCGAGCTGCTAAAAGTATTATCTATGGATGCACCGAGTTTCTTTTAGTTTTTTACTATGTGGAGGATAACGTGTGCTGACAGAACACCATTGCTGCCATGCAGGGACTGGCGCTCCGGCGCTGCTCCTCGAGGATGACGCACCTGAAACCCGCGTCGTCGTCGTCGTCGCCTGCGCCCCAGCAGGTACTCTTCCACTCCAGTTTCAAGGTCCCAAAGCTGAAAGCCCCCGCCCCTCCTCCCCCTCCTCCCTCGTAGTAGTCTGATCTAACGGTCTCCTGACATGTGCAGCTGCTGTTAGACCTCCATGATGGCTGTGTTTAGGTGTGTGGAGTTAGCGATCAGGTTTAATCTTTATCGTGCGCCGCGCGCTCCCACTGGAGAGGCGGTGATCGTGTTTTGTAACCTACATCCTCGCCCTTATTTTGAAGGCCCTTTTGTAACATATTCGCGGGCGCTGCGCGGATGGAGAGCTCGCTGACCGGTGTATGTATGTATGTGTGTGTGTGTGTGTGTTAACCATGTGGTGGTGCCCTCGGGCCGGAATTCGCGAGGTGTTTGAGATGTGACCCGAACTCCCCTGAGTTATGAGTGTGTGTTTCTGCGGTTGGTGTATAAAATGTGAAGTGGAAGTGTGAGAGGGCATAAATGTTCATACTGTTGATGATTACAGGGGCAGAACCTTGTGTTTCTCTTTGGGAAAGCTGGTACTAGAAATTTGAATTTGCCCTTTGGCGAATTTGTTTAGGGTTTTCGATGGCCAAGTTGCGGTATCGACATAAATGTGGGGAAATTTACTTTGGATGCCTGTGTCCTCCTGTAACCCATTTGAGAGGAATGTCATACACACTTCATGCTTTATACACAGCATTTCTGTTTGGGAAAATTGGCACTTGTTGTTGTGCTTAGGCGAATTTGTGTAAGTTTTTTTTTCCATGGTGAAGTTGCGTTATCCGCATAAATAGCATAAATATGGGCAAATTTATTTCCAATGCCTGTGCTCTGTTGTGAAACATTTAAGCAATATAATACACCCTCCATATCTTAGTTAAATATTAATTGAAAAAGAGAAAGAATGACACCCCTTTAAAAAGGATCTCGTCACAAATCGAATATCAGATTTTTGTGGAACATTTTTTTATGGCAAATTATGTTATCGGGTAGGATGGCATGTTGTGTTTAGCAAGCATGGCACATCCTACCATGTTTCAATTTTTTACCATGTTTGCTAAAGAAAATTGGTATCATATAATTTGCCATAAAAAATGTCATCGATAAAGGGGCAGGGACCGCCGTCGCTGCCGTTGCCGCCGTGGCCGCGATCGCCGCGGTCGTTGGAGATGGTGAGGGCGGCGTCGCCGGCCTCAGCGGCGCGAAGGTTGATGTTGTACTCCACGAGATCCACGCGAGAGCGCTCGACGCCGAACGGGGGGAGAGGCACCGTGTCCCCCAAGATGGTGCGAATGGTGTCGAAGCGGGCGTCGAGGCCATGAAGAAACTGCATGGTAAGATCTGGATCGGAGACGGGGTTACCAGTGTCGGCGAGGCCGTCGGCAAGGGACTTGAGGCGGCGAGCATAGTTGGAGACAGAGAGGTCGCCCTGCTTCAAGTTCCTGTACTGGCGCGTGAGGTGGAGGTACTGGGCGCCCTGGTTGGCTAGGAAGTAGTCCCGGATGTGCTGCCAGGCGGTGTAGGCGTCGACAGCGCCGCCCATGATCAGCTCGAGGATGGAATCCGGGAGGGTGAAGAGGATCCAGAGGACCAGCCGTTGATCCACGGCAAGCCAGGCGGCGTCGGGGTGAGGAGGAGGACGGCGCTCGATGTGATCCTGGACGCGGTACTGTGTGAGGACACAGGTGAAGAAGGTGCGCCACTTGATGTAGTTGTTCTCAGCGGGGTCAAGCTTGAACTTGATATGGTTGGAGATGTGGTCGTTGTGAAAGTTGTGGAGGAGAAGATCAGGAGGAGAAGGCATGGGAAAGATGGTTGTGGTGGCGAGAGCAGAGGTTGCAGCGGGCATGGTGGTCGAGGAGAAGGGAGGAGAGGTCCCCGGAGTGGAGGACGGAGAGGAGAAGACGGGAGCGGCCGGAGAGGCGGGGGGCTCGCTGAAGATGTCCTCGAAAGCCATGGCGACTGATACCAAGAAAGAAGATGAATATGCACTGCACACTGTATTACTCATCGAGAGAGTTACATATAGCCGGGGCCTTCCACAAGATTAGGCACGCAGGCCCGTGAACTAGTCGTGGAGGTTGAGATCCTAGAAAGTAGGAATTAGGTACAAGAGTTACAACGTTACAAATACAAGGTACAATACATGACACTTATTTCTGGATTTATTTCAGAATTTTCGGCGATGCGCATTTAGTGGGAGGAGACGTTCCCGTCGACGACGAGGCGCCTACGGTGACTTTGTAAATCTCAAGATGATATGGCAGCTCAGTCTTTCGGAGGTGCTCATAGGGGTAGGGCGTACGTGTGTGCGTTCATAGGGATGAGTGTATGCGCGTGTATATGAGCGCTTGTGTCTGTACTGATGTAAAAAAAAAAATGAACCGAAACATAAAATACGGTGCTTAATATAAATATAAAGCTAGTTAGCGATTGTAAAACATCTACTACTTTTTACATCGAGGCAGAGTTTGAGCCTCAGCAATATCTTTCTACGAAGCTATGTTAGGAGTAAACCGCTGTGCGCCAAAACAACTTTCTTTTTTATGAAAAAAAAAGAATTCCAAGACGGAAGAAACTCTTCTTCTTGGAGCACAAGAAGGATCCCCGGTCACTGCCACGCGGGCCCCACCGGCAGCAGCAGGTCTCCGCCCTCCTCCTCCCTAGGCCCCGCGGGCCGGCGGTATAAGCCCGGCCCGGCCCGGCCCACCCGGATCCCATCTCCCTTTATCACCCCAGCCCTCCCCTCTGGTCTTCTTCTCACCCACGAAACAGAGAGAGACTCCGCCGTCGCAGCGCCAGCCAAACCCTCGTCGTCGTCTCCGATCCCGCCGTCGCAGCCATGCCGTTCACCCCGGGACCCTACTCCGGCAAGAGCACCCTCGCCCTCGTAAGCCCTCGAAATCGCCCCCTCCCCCCGATTCCTCCGCTGCATCGCGGATCAGATCTGGATGACCGACCGTGGGGGTGTTGCTTTGCAGGTGGCCAGGGTCTCCGCCGTCGGCGTCGGCCTCGTCTACGGCTCCGTCAAGCTCGGCATCCTCAAGGTACCGCGCGATCCCCCAACCCCCCTTTCCTTCCTCTATGATACCGCCGCGCGATCGATGCGATGTGATTTTGGTGCCTTAGCGTTGGCCCGGTGGTTGGTTGCTAGGGTTAGGAAGGTTCGGTCCTAGGGCTGGAGCGATTGGATTGGATGGGGCTGTGCTCTGTGTGCCGCCGCGAATCTGAGATTATTTTGGCCCAACTGCTTGTCTCTTCGCATGATAACTACTGTTCATTGGCCTGTCTGTTACGTACTATATTGGCATGATGATTGGATGGTTTGTTTCTTGATGATGACGATAGGGTTATGTAGCATGATGATGCACTAGTTCTTTCACACTTGTTACCATATCCTGTTCGTTTCTGTAATAATATGTAGCATCATCATGGGGTAGTTCTGGAGACTTATTGTTAGCTGCATCTTCTCTCTCAAGTCTCTCAGAGAAGGAAATAAGTTCATCTTCCTCTGCTTCTGGTTGCGCCTGCTTGCTGTCATGTGAATTGTTCTATTTTTATCGGACAGTTCAGTCTGAGGCCTAGTTGAACACTGCACTGCTTAATTTATAGGTCGTATAACTCATGGCACATGTGTTGTATTGAAGTAAAAGTTCAGTTGCCTGATATAGATCTTGCTCAGGCAAGCATGTACCATAAGTTGCCTGATTGGTTCCATAAGTCGCAGGGGCATCCATCAATGATCTGTATGGATTTAGGGACTGACTTTGTTTCTATCCTCTGCTTGGTTTCTTTTGGAGATTGATTGATTGGACACACTTGATATAGAACAATTTATTTGTATAGACGAAACCATACTTGTCAAATATCTGAGTATTACTGCTGAATCATAATATCTTGTTGTCTGCTTCAGCCGTCATTAGGAAACACTTAGCTTCATCGAAATTACTTCACGTACGACAGTCTAGGATCCGATTTTTATACGGCCATTTATCCAACGATGCTGCTGCTGCTCCACTCAGCATGCGTACGTGATGGACGGCTCTGTTCGATTGTCGTACGAGTAGTGTTGTATGTGTAGCAATGTCCTATCTTCACAGCAGACTTGTTAGAGATAATAATAATGTTCATCTTGTTTTCTCGCCCCCTATCTTATTTAGATTTCGCAGATCCATTGAACTGTTTGGTGTAAGTTGGTTATCTAAGTGTCTATAAATCGATGACGTTTGCAATTCTTTCCCCTTGTTACCATCAAAGCATCTTCTTACAGTTGCATGCTTTTTTTTTTCTCGCTGTCCAGATGACCAAGCCCAAGGAGGAAGCAGCTGCTGCTCATCACTGAGGACAAGTAGCTCCAGCGAGTTGACGCCGTAGATTCGCAATGTACCTTCTATACCTGCATTCGGTTCTGTGATTTGTGTCTGAAACCCAAAAAAACCCAGACCCATGTGGGAGCTGAACCTTTAGCTTTTTTGCTTGTGGAAAATAATATCCTCGGCTGAATCGACTTGAAATCAGGAAGAGTGAAACTTAAAATTCTTTGGTGTGGTTCTGCGATCCAGACCAAGTTTTTGCTGTGTCATCTAGTTTTTGCCGTGCAACCTGATTGGCTGGTCTAGCGAGCATCTTGGCGATTGAATTTATGTGTATTCTTTTTTGTCAATATGTTGCAAGTTTCATATAGACGTATGTAGTTCAACCAAATGCTCTTAATGATCCGGCTCATGATTTAATTGCCAACCGTCTCCGTTTGGGGCTTTGTTATACCTCAGACTCAATTCCGCATGCGATGTCATACCAACCACATCGTCCCCGGCTTCTGAGCCGAAATCGAAGGATTGCAAAGTCCTATCTATTGCGTGAGGAATAGTAGAACATATAAGTTAAAAAGTGAAATAGATCCATAAATGTGGAAAAAGTGTGTGGATTTTAAGAAAGTTTACAAAAAAAAATCCCGGATTTGAAGAAAGTTTGTGGATTTTAAGAAAAGAACAGAAATTTGAAAAAAGTTTGTGGATCTCAATGTATTCATGTGTTTGAAAAAGTTCACGTGCTTTGAGAAAAAGGTTCACGCACTTGAAAAAAAC